GGGGGCCAGATCTCTGCAGGCCACCCCGAGGGGCCTGCCTGTGCACAAATTCGTGCACCGGGCCTCTAGTAATAAAATATGCGTTCATTTTGTAGTTTTAGGAGGATATAGGGGGGATAAGTGGTGATGGATGGAGATTTGACTTGGGGTGAACACACAATACAGTGTACAGACCTGAAATCTCTATAATTTTGTTAACCAGTGTCACCCCAATAAATTCAATAAAAAGGGGAAAAAAGCCCTGGCCAGTTTTCTCAGTGGTTAGAGTGTTGGCCCAGGGATTCCTGTTCAAGGGCCCCATACCTCATACCTTGGTTGCAGGTTTGCCAGCCCCAGTAGGGTTGTGTGCAGAAGGCAACCAATCAATGTGTTTCTCTCACATCAATGTTTCTGTCTTTCCCTCTCTCTTCCAACCTCTCTAAAATGATCAATGGAAAAATAACCTCGGGTGAGGATTAAAAAACAGTATTTTTATCTAATTGTCTTCGAAGCATTCACGGATACTCTGGAGTTTATTTTTGGTTACAGTATTAACCAAACACTGTTTGGTATTAATCAAAATATTGTTTTGGCCGAAACCGGTTTGGCTCAGTGGATAGAGCATCGGCCTGCGGACTGAAGGGTCTCAGGTTCAATTCCGGTCAAGGGCATGTACCAGGGTTGCGGGCACATCCCCAGTGGGAGATGTGCAGGAGGCAGCTGATCGATGTTTCTCTCTCATCGATGTTTCTAGCTCTCTATCTCTCTCTCCCTTCCTCTCTGTAAAAAATCAATAAAATATATTTAAAAATATATATATATTGTTTTGATATTAACTAAGATAATGTCTGATTAATAGTTAACAGCACTGCTAACCAAGTATTTCTATTTGGTTAGAAATACAAAGAGAAATGTCTCCAAATTGTCACTTTTTAAAAGATATTTCTGCTGTATTTTTTAAAACGCTAAAAGTCTTCATTTTAAAATTTTCATTGAAAATTATTTCTTTTATTAATATAAACAAGCACCTTTTCCAATTTCATGCTTTTTTGCCTTGTATTTTAATTTTGCAGATTTGGAAGGAACTCTTATTTGCCTATCCCTTTTTCATTTATGTGTAATTTTATTTTAGGTATGACTTAGGTAAATGGAAAATAGATTTTATAGAGAAATTATTCTCATGACTGAACAAATATTTATTGAATGTCTATTCAGAAATGTGTTAACAGATCTGTTTGGTCTGCTCTAACTGATTTTTTTTTAAATATTTCTTATTGATTTCAGAGAGGAAAGGAGGGGGAAAGATAGAAACATCTTTGATGAGAAAGAATCACTGATCAGCAGCCTATGGATTGAGTCCACAACCCGGGCATGTGCCCTGACTTGGAATCAAACCGGGACCTCCTGGTTCATAGGTTGATGCTCAACCACTAAGCGACACCAGCTGGGCCTGAATGATTTAAAAAAAAAAAAAAATCTTAAATCATTTACAAAATCTAACCATCTTAAAAATCCTCTTCTGGTTCCTCAATGCCTAAGCAATCAAGGCCATTCTATTTGTATGCTACGAAAGGCTCTTTGTGACTTGTTCTGTTTTCCTTTTAGTCTCATCTTTTCTTCCCCAATCTGCTATCCTATATTCACTTTAGCCCTATCTACACGCAAGTCTCCAAACTTAACATACCTTTCACAAAATTCTGTTCTCTATACTTGGAATTCTTCCCTCTACTCCTATTCATCCTTTAGCATTCAGTTCAAAGACCCAGGACCGCCGAAACCGGTTTGGCTCAGTGGATAGAGCGTCGGCCTGCGGACTGAAGGGTCCCGGGTTCAATTCTGGTCAAGGGCATGTACCTGGGTTGCGGGCACATCCCCAGTAGGAGATGTGCAGGAGGCAGCTGATCAATGTTTCTCTCTCATCGATGTTTCTAACTATCTCTCTCCCTTCCTCTCTGTAAAAAAAAAAAAAAAAAGACCAGGACCTTCACTAGTAACACCCCATTACTGGTGTCCTTCAGACTTCTGTTCTCAATTGCCTACGAAATACTCCACTTGAATATCCCAGAGACTTCTCATATTCTATATGCTGGAAACTGAAAACATCACCTCCCCCAAATCAGCTCATTTCCCCTTGTCCCTTCTTCAGCAAATGGCACTACTACCTATCCTCTTGCTAATTTGAAATCCTAAACACCATACTGAGCTCCTACTTCTTAATTTCCAACATGTCCTGCTATTCTATCCATGAATTTCTCTCAAATCCATCCAGTAATCTCTATACCTACTACCTCTACCTAGTTAGGCCACTAATGTATCTAATCTGGATTATTAAAACCATTTTCTACTTACTTCTCTGTACCTCCAGTCTTAATTTCCCCTGCAATCCATCCTCCACAATACTCCTGGAATACATCCGCCTAAGCACAATTCTGAATATGTTATTCCCCTACTTTAAAACTTTAGTGAATAAGAACAGGGATGGGTAACTCTAAAGACACTAGAACTCTCCACACCATGTCCTTAAGATAAATTCCAAACTCCTCACTAGGCCTTATAAAGGACAAACATAATCCTCCCCAGCCCTATCTCCGGTCACTTGTCCACCACATTTTAGGCATGTTCAACTTTGCAGTACCCCTACTACTCAGTGCTCTTTGCACATGCTGCTCCTTAAGTCTGTGATATTCTTCTTTCTACCTGGCTAACTTCTACTCATTCTTCAGAACTCAACTAAGATACCACTTCTCTTTCAAATGATTCTCTAAATCCCAAAGCTGAGGTCAGATTTCCCTTTTATGTGATTCCACTGCACACCCCACATATTCTGACACACTGAGGCAAACAAGGTTAATTGTTTGTTTATTTGTCCACCTTCCCCACTGGTGTGTAAACTGCAAAGATAGTTTTTTTTTGTCTTTTCCTATTCTAATCTGTAGGCAAAACATATATGAAAAACTGGGCCAGACTCAGGGGGAGGAGTGAAAATTGGTAGAAGTACTATGAATAACTTAAGATGTGCAGACGACACCATCTTACTGGCAGAAAGTAGCAATGATTTGAAACAACTTCCAATGAAAACGAAAGAAGAAAGTGCCAAAGCAAGACTGTATTTGAACATCAAGACGAAAAACTGTAGAAGAAATACATAACTTTAACTTTGAAAGAAGACCCTGGAATTGTTAAAGATTTTGCTTATAAAAAAAAAAAAAAAAAAAGATTTTGCTTATATTGGTTCAGTCATCAATTCAAATGGAGACTGTAGCCAAGAAATCAAGAGAAGACTGAGACTCAAAAGGGCAGAAATGGAAGAATTAGGAAAGATCACCAAGAGCAAAATGTGTCATTAGAGACTACACCCTCGTATTCCCAATTACTATGTATGGATGTGAAAGTTGGACAGAAAAAAATTGATTCATTTGAAATATGGTGTTAGAGGAAAGCTCTAAAGGCCCTGGACCAACAGAAAGATGAACAAGTGGGTCCTAGAGCAAGTTAAGCCTGAAACATCGCTGGAAGCAAAAACGACAAAATTGAAGCTGTCCTACTCTGGGCACATCGCGAGAGGCAAGGTTCTCTGGAAAAGACAATACTGCTGGGCAGGAAAAGAGGAGACCAAATATGAGATGGACTGACTCTAAAATGTCAGAGAAGTGAATCTGTGGAGTTGAGCAGGGCTTGTTAAGGACAGGACATTGTGGACATCACTCATTCATAGGGTTACCAGGAATCAGAGCCAACTCAACAGCAGGTAACACACAACCGCTTGTCATTCTTATTTATTGTGGCTCTTCTAGAACTTAGCACAGAATGGTCAATCAATAAATATTAAGTAGTACAAGCATTAATAATTGGGGCTGTGAGTCAACTTTTTACTGAATGAAGTAGACAAATGAAAACTAAGGATTATTTCCCAGAAAAATGAACATAAATATATTTTTAAATACTTTTATATGATTTCTAAGGTATCTTGGTCCCCAGGTTAAGTCCTGCCCTAGGACCTCTGTTTCTAAAGTCATAAGAAGACTGCTAAGAGAAAGGAAGAGATCAGCGCAATGATCCTATTATTCCTTACCTTGTCTCTTCTCCACAAAAATCCTCTTCCTCCTTCTCCGGCACCCATAGCTAAATCACCACACCTTTCCCCAGGCTGACTTGGAATTTCCATCCACTCTGTAACTCCCATAGAGTTTAGGAATGCAATCAAACGTTTCCTTCTCAAGGGTATATCATACACATTAGTTATTATAATCTCCCATACCATTATTATAATCTTAGTCATTTCCTGAAGCAGTCATACTATTTTCTCAATTTTTTAAAATCAACTTTTTAACTTAAATGTAGTGACATCCTAAGTAATAATATCTGTGAAATCACAGTTTTGATATCATGGCTATTATATTCCTACCTCAAAATAACACACTTAAAAAAAAAAAAAAGACTTTAGACGCTCACCAGCCACCAAGTTTGATTTTATTTTTTTAGATTTTTAAAAATTGATCTTTACAGAGAGAGGAAGGGAGAGGGAGAGAGACAGAGAGAGAGAGAGAGAAACATCAATCGATTGCTTCCTGAACGTCCCCTATCACGGATTGACCCCACAACCTGGGCATGTGCCCTGACTGGGAATCAAACCAGCAACTTTTGCATGCACGGGACAATGTCCAACCAACTGAGCCACACTAGCCAGCGCACCAGCTACCAAGTTTCAGAGCACAATTTTAAGGTTTCTGCAGTTACTCCGGGATCTCTGATGGGTAAGTAATAATTTGGACATTTAGAGGGTTTTGTTTTTTTTAAAGATGGAAACTAAAAAACATTTGGTCCAATCCTCTCACCTTATAGGTTAAAAGTTGAAATCCAAAGCGTTACGTAATTTGTCCAAGGTCAGATAAGATGTTTAATAAAATGTCTAGGATTAGTATTCAGGTCTACTATCAGTCCAGTACACTTTCCACTACACTGTATCCATTCAGATTACACTAGAATAATACAGTATCCAGAATTCTTCATCTGTTACCTACCTCACTCTTCCATTCAGATTTATATGAATATGTTGCTTAAAATCTGGATATTTGGATGCCAGATATGCAAAGTCAGGAGGTTTGTCCTTGTATCTATTTCTTGCATGCATTGATTTACTCAGAGCCATCTTTAAAAAGAAAAAAAAGGAAAAAAACGAACATATTTAGTTTAAAAATATATTAATGGGGAAAACCTATGGTTGCCAAGTCAACAGTTACAGTCAACACATCCTTACCAATCAAGTGAGAAAGTAGAAGATATATTTTTTAAATGTATATAACAAATAAGAATATGAATGATGCTCATCATGATCTGTCATTAGAGAAATGCAAATCAAAACCACAATAAGATACCACTTTACCCATTATGATGGCTGGCAATTATTTAAAAATTTTTAGAAGAAAATAATAAATGTTGGAAAGGATATGAAAAAATTAGAGCCCTCATGTATTGCAGGTGGGAACATAAAACGGTACAACTACTATGGAAAACAATTTGGTGGTTCTTTAAAAAGTTAAAAAACAGAACCACCATAAGATCCAGCATTTCCAATCCAAAGTATGCGCAAAAAAACTAAAAACAAATATATATTTGTTTACCAATGTTCATAGCATCATATTCACAACAGCCAAAAGGTGGAAACAACCCCAAATATCCATACACAGTGGGGCCTTGACTTACGAGTGTCCTGACTAACAAGTTTTTCCGAGATACAAGCCGTCTCTTGGCCCATTTTTTGCTCTGAGTTGACAGAGTAATTCGAGTTAATGAGCTCCATCACGGAATGAATTAAACTCATAAGTCAAGGCCCCACTGTAGAGATGAATAAATAGAATGTGGTATATGCATACAATGGAATATTATCTATATCTATATATATAAAAGCCAAGTGACTAAAATGACCAGAATGACTGATCTCTGTGATGCTCACTGCAGCCTGCCAACTGGCCAAATTGGGGCAGGGCTGGCCGGGCACCTCGCCTGACCCCTTCCCCCAGCAGCCCACCTCTCACATCTTCTCTCCCGAGCCAGCTGGCCTCAATTGGCCCCAATTGGGGTGCGGCAGCCAGGCACCATCCGTGCACGAATCTGTGCACTGGGCCTCTAGTCCTATATAATAAAAGGCTAATATGCAAATCAACCGAACAGTGGAACAACTGGTCACTATGATGTGCACTGACCACCAGGGGGCAGACACTCAATGCAGGAGCTGCCCCCTGGTGTTCAGTGTGCTCCCACAGGGGGAGCACTGCTCAGCCAGAAGCCGGGCTCATGGCTGGTGAGTACAGTGGCAGTGGTGAGAGCTTCTCCTGCCTCCGTGGCAGTGCTAAGGATGTCCGACTGACGGCTTAGGCCGACTCCCCATGGGGTCCCGGACTGCAAGAGGGCGCAGGCCAGGCTGAGAGGGGACCCTCTCCCCTGGAGTGCATGAATTTCATGCACTAGGCTTCCTATATATATATAAAACCCTAAGTGACCTCTCAACCAGTAGGCTGTTTGGTCGCTATGACACGTACTGACCACCAGGGGGCAGACACTCAATGCAGGAGCTGCCCCCTGGTGGTCAGTGCATTCTCACAGTGAGGGCTGCTCAGCTGACTGACTGACTGACTGGTGCCAATGCTGGGCTCACGGCTGGCGAGCGCTGGGAGCCTCTCCTGCCTCTGTGGCAGCGCTATCAAGCAGCAGAGGCAGGGTCCACAGGGCCAGGATGAGGGTGAGCAGCCCAGTGCCAGGTCCAGGTTCCTCCCCAGCCGCCTGCCGCTTCACACACTACTTTATCCCTCGGGGAATGTTGGACTACCGGTTTCAGCCGGATCTCAGCAGTCCGACATCCCCCGAGGGGTCCCGGATTGCAGGAGGGCACAGAGCAGGCTAAGGGACCCCACCAGGGCATGAATCCGTGCACCGGGCCTCTAGTTTAACCATAAAAAAGAATGAAATTCTGATACATGCTAAGCATGGACAAATTTTAAAAACAAGGGTAACAAGCCACATCCAAAAGGGGTATTGTATTATGTTAAATATTGTATTATCCCATTTATATGAGGTACCAAGATTAGGAAAATTCATACAGGTAGAGTAGAATAGATTTTTCTGTGGGTTTGGGAGAGGGAGAAATGATGAGTCATTCTTTAATGGGTACGCGGTTTCTGTTTAGGATTAAAAACTTCTAGAAATGCATAGTGTTGATGGTCGCACAACACTGAATATATTTAACGTCACTGAATAGTATACTTAAAAGTGGTTAAAATGATAAATTTTGTTATATATATTTTGTCACAATAATATACACAGCATATGATGAATCTTTTTTTTTTTTAACCAAGGAAAGAAAATTGGAAATTATGCCTTTAAAAATATCAAAGTAGCAGAAGGTACTATAATCTACAGCCAAGAATATTATAATCAGAGGTTAATTTTACAGTAGCCTTGCATGGACTGATAATTTGTAGTGTACCAAAAATCACTTAAGTTTCAAAAATTATCTTCTATTCCAACTTCCTTTATAAATGTCAGCCTTGTCACTTCTAGGTAGCTAAAACCAAATGAAAACAAACATAATTTGTCTTCTACCAGATTATAAAGAGGAAAAAAGTGAATGTATTTATAGCAATAAATTAAAACTAGAAGAAAAGCCAGTGGTTTAGTAAATCTCTAAGTAGTTGGTAATTTAAAAAATATTTTAGAATACTACATATCTCTGCATGGTAGGTGATTTTTCTTTTTTCTTTATACCATTCTGCATTTTCCACTCTTTTTTATAATGAGCATTCATCTAAACAGTATTATGTAAGCCAGAAACCTAGGAGTCACCTGATAGCTCTCTATCCCTCTCATATTCCAAGAAATAACAGTCATGTGGATTTAATCTACTAAAAATCTCCCAAATCCATCAATTTTTCCGTTTCCATCAATATAAGCCAAATACAAGTTACCTAGATTGCTATAGCAGTCTCTGAATTGGTCTCCCTGACTCCACTTTTATTCTCTCCATTCTTTTTTCCACTTTGCAGTGATCATTTCTTTTTTTTTCTTTTTTTAAAATATATTTTATTGATTTTTCACAGAGAGGAAGGGAGAGGGATAGAGAGCCAGAAACATCAATGAGAGAGAAACATCGATCAGCTGCCTCCTGCACACCCCCCACTGGGGATGCGCCCGCAACCAAGGCACATGCCCCTGACCGGAATCGAACCCGGGACCCTTCAGTCCGCAGGCCGACGCTCTATCCACTGAGCCAAACCGGTTAGGGCCGCAGTGATCATTTCTAAACACAAACCTCATTACATCCTCCTCGTATGCCCACTTGCTCAAAACCTTACTCTTAGGATAAAAACAAAAAACCTCACTTCAGCATACAAATTAGGTCCAGCCTGGTGTGGATTCACCTATTTCTTCACTCTCAGCTTAAGTCTCTCTCACACACCCCTGAGCTCATTCTTCTATTCCTCCACTCTGGCAATTGGATCTTTACACAGATTACTCTACTCCTTGTCTATGAGAGCGATTCCAACCTTTTTCATCTCATGGCACTTAAACTAATTACTAAAATTCTGCAGTACACCAAAAAACCTATTACATTTTTTACTGATCTGACAAAAATTTATTTACGTATTTATTCACAGAGGACAGCTATTGCTGTGTGGGCTGTTGCCTTTTTTTTTTTTTAACCTAAATAGTCAGGTATTACATGTTTTAAAAATTCTCGTGGCACATCAATTAAAAATCGCTGGTCTATAATGTCTCCCCCCCCCATCTCCTCCCACCCCACCTCACCTGATGAATTCCCACTCATCCTTACTATCACACCCTTACTATCACACTTCAAGCATCTCTTCTTCAGGAATGTCTTTCCTTCCTTGATCTCCCGGTTAGGCCATATCCCCTATTAAGCCATATCCCCTAGCAACAAGCACCTTTTCTTTGCAAGCTTTGTTTGAGATGTAATTTTACATAGTCGTAAATCTGTTCACTCTATTTCAGAAATGTTTTTTGACAGCTTTCTACCCTGCAAACTTAACAACCATTTTCAAAAAAGAACTGTCTTCACCCCAGACCTTTCCAAATCATATATCCAATTGCCCGCTAGACTTCTCATTTGAATGGTTCAAAAGTATTTCATGCACAACATGTCCAAAGTTAAATAACTTCTACCCACCCCCAAATGGCCCTCATCTGACCTTCCCTATTTCACTGAATGACACCACGATCTTTCTTCTGGTGCACAATCCAGAAATCTTTAGTATCTTCTCCACCCCACCTCCCCAATTCCAAACACACCATGTCCTGAACATTCTCTATCTCCTCATTATTTCCTGATAATTTTTCACCCTTCACAACTACACATTACTAACCCAGGTCATTATCATCTTTCTTGGATTACGGAAACTGATCTCTCTATAACCGATCTTGCCCCTGCAGTCCACTTTTCACATAGCAGACAAGTCTTCTCTATCCCATCCCACACAAATCTGAATATTCTTTGCTAAATCCCCTCAGTGGCTTCCTAAAGCTATTAGGCTGATAAAGTCCAAAATTATTAACAAGGTATTCAGTGATGGCGAACCTATGACACGCGTGTCAAAGGTGACACGCGAACTTATTTTTTTGGTTGATATTTCTTTGTTAAATGGCCTTTAAATATATAAAATAAATGTCAAAAATATAAATCTTTGTTTTACTATGGTTGCAAATATCAAAAAATTTCTATATGTGACACGGCACCAAAGTTAAGTTAGGGTTTTTCAAAATGCTGACATGCTGAGCTCAAATGGTTCGCCATCACTGGTATAGATCGTCTAGGCCAGTGGTTCTCAACCTTCTGGCCCTTTAAATACAGTTCCTCGCCGAAACCGGTTTGGCTCAGTGGATAGAGCGTTGGCCTGTGGACTGAAAGGTCCCAGGTTCGATTCCGGTCAAGGGCATGTACCTGGGTTGCGGGCACATCCCCGGTGGGGGATGTGCAGGAGGCGGCTGGTCGATGTTTCTCTCTCATCGATGTTTCTGACTATCTCTCTCCCTTCCTCTCTGTAAAAAATCAATAAAATATATTAAAAAAAATGTTTAAAAAAATAAATAAATAAATAAATACAGTTCCTCATGTTGTGACCCAACCATAAAATTATTTTCGTTGCTACTTCATAACTGTAATGTTGCTACTGTTATGAATCGTAATGTAAATATCTGATATGCAGGATGGTCTTAGGTGACCCCTGTGAAAGGGTCATTTGACCGTCAAAGGGGTCGCGACCCACAGGTTGAGAACCGCTGATTTACGCCTTGCCTTTCCCTCCAGCCTCATTTGTTGCCACTTCCCCCTTCCATCACTGTGCTCCAGACATACAGGCATTTTCATTTTCCTTCATTCACTCTGACATTTTAAAGGTATGTTATCCTAAATGCGTAAGACCAATGGACAGGGCTCATTGAAGATAAAGACTGACCTTTGCAAAGAGAGCTACAGGCCTGGGATGTAACTACCCACTATGACCTGGCCAATTGGGATTTATTATGATCAGACCATGGTGTGTGGTTATTTTGGTGACTGAGCTTATCAGGCCTGCCATGTGGCCCCCATGAGCCTGTCAGGTTTACTGCATAGACCCTTTTTCGTTCACATATGGCAGATTCAATTCATTTCCTACCTTACTCAACCTTTTTGGTCAGAACAGAATGAGTCAATAAAGCCACTTCTTTGCGAACCAAGCTCCTCATACAGGCAACGGGCTCTCCGCTAAATCTACCATGTTCCTCAATTTAGCTCAGTGTCACCTCTCACCCGCCATCAGCATGGTCACCTCCTTCTCTCTAAGTCTTACCTAATCTACTTTCCTCTTCCTGGCCCATCCTGCCCTTAGCTGCAGGGGCCTCCTTGCTGTTTGTCAATTCTGGTATACTCCTGCCTCAGGGCTTTCGTGTTTGCATGGTCCGCGTGGACTTTTCTCCGACCAGAAACACATCCATGCAAGATACCCGGGCCTTGTTCAGGTCTCTGAATCAGCTGTCACCTCACTGATGCCTTTCCTACTATCTTTACTTAAAAACTGCAGTAGTGAACGCACTCCTGGTTTCCCTTACTTGCTTCGAACTTCTACACAGAACTTGCCCATTTGGCATTCCATACATTCCATATATTTCCCTTTTTTCCCCTTTTTTTCTTTTTTAAATCTGCCATGCCAGTGAGCTTCATGAGGGAAAATCTTTCGTCTGTCTTGTTCACGCGATTTCCCAGCAGCAAACTAGGCAATCCGGTCCTGGGAGAGCAAGCACTCGGTACTCGCTGACTGAAAACCCTGGTGTGTGACTCTTCTCTCGGAAACACAGCACCTCATTCGGGTGAAGAGTCGCCCATCTTGACTCCCAAAGAGGCTCAGTCCTAAGGTTGGGGCTTTTTCTTCCGGGCTGACCGAGTCGGTCGTAAAAAAAAACCAAAGCAGTCGAACCCTGACGCTACTTGTTGCCTTGGTTTCTCTGGAGCCTTAAATAATCTTCTTCCACTACCACGCACCTTAACGCAATCTAGATGTCGCTTTCAGAATTTCGAATCCCTTCTTAACAAATTCCTCCCACGTCAGCCCCAATCTCCCTTTTTCCTTGTTGCCTTCCTTCATAAACCCGACTTTTCCTTCCAAGTCCCGCCACGGCCCGCTCTCCATCTCTCCCACTGCTCCACACTTCATCTTAGCCATTCGGTTTGCCTTCCCGCCTCAGTTTCCGATCTCTCCGAACCTCCTCAGTCCCGGGGGCCTTCCCTACTTCAGTCGTGGTCCCCGTTCTATTAGTCAACTCCTCACCCCACACACACCCCAACCCCTATCGGGTCTCTCTCCCTAGACCCCCGGAGTCCAGCACCCGAGAATGAGGAACCTGGGTGATCCATGGGCTAAGTGAACTCGTCACCATCGTGAAAGTAAGTGACTTACCTCTGCGGGCCAAGTTCCAGCCAAACCACCAATCTGGAGCGGGCCTCTAACCCCTAGTCTCAAACCATATGCAGCGCGAAGCTCCTAGAAACGCAGATGTTACGCTCCCAGCGCGCCGCCATCTTGGGCAGCCACCCAGCCTCGCGATTGGACGATGAACACCTCGCGCGATCTGTAGTAGAGTCTGAAGAAAGAATAAACTGTCGCGAGACTTGGAGTTAGCGGCGCCTTCTAACAAAAAAAAAAAAAAAAAAAAAAGGCGGGGCGGGGCGGGGCGGGAGGAGGAGGCGTGGTAGCAAGCTGAGTCCTTGGTGGAGGTACCTGCATTAGAATCTGCTAGGTAACTTTTGACAAATGTAGATTTTTTTTTTTTTAATTGCTTTCTGGACCTCACTCTAGACTTACTAAGCCGTAGTCTCGGGGGCTGGTCAGGAAATATAGGGATGGAAGTGGGGCGGGGGAGACGGCTTTTAGATTTGGTGGCGGGCAATTAGCGTTGGTTGTGCAACAGGTCTCTCTACTGGGATGTCTCATTTAAACATCACAGATAAACTGTGAGGTGGAAAGAGTAGCTGGGGATCGTTTGCTCAAGGTCTTACACCCAGATGACATCAAGTCCACGTTCTTTGTGTATCTTTACCTGCCTGGAGCTGGAAGCACTATGAAATACATTTCATTTTTCTTTTCAACGCGGTTGTACTAATTTTTACCCTCTGGTAAGTAGAGTGAGCATTAGTTTACCCATTTTACAATAGACGTAAAAAGGTCTATTACGTGCCCAGGTCGCGGTTCCTGGTCCCGGCACATGTCTAAGTTGCAGTTGGATCCCAGGTCAGGCAGCCCATCCATGTTTCTCTCTCAAACTGATGCTTTTCTTTTTCTCTCCCTCTCCCTTCCTATTTCTGTTAAATCAATGAAAGCATATCCTCGGATGAGGATGAAAAGAAAAAGAATGGAAGAAATTTCCTGAAGCTGAGAAAGATACAAGTCTTCAAATCAAAAGAGTTCACTCTGTACCAAACTGAATGAATTTTAAAAGACCAAGTCAAGTTTTCAGAGTCGTCCCTAGTACAGTATGACTGGTGTTCTTATGAGGAGAGGAGATTAGGTCGCAGACAACGCAGAGGGGTAGCCAAGAAAGGACACAGCAAGAAGATGCCCATCTGGAGCCACGGAGAGACCTCGGGAGAAACCAGACCTGCTGATGCCTGGATCTTGGCCTTCCAAGCCTCCAGAATTGTGAGAAAAGAAATCTCTGTTGTTTAAGCTACCTAGTCTGTGGTAGTTTGTTGTGGAAGCCCTAGCAAACTTATACAAACCTCTTTGGTTATTGTGTATTCAAAAGTATCTTATACTTTTCCATGCTATTGTAAATGGAGCTGATTTTTGTGTATTGATTTTGCATCCTGCAACCTTGCAGAATCTGTTTATTCTACCTCTTTTTGTTGGAATCCTTGAGGTTTTCTACATATAAGATCATGTCATCTGTGAACAGAGGTAATTTTACTTCTTCCTTTCCAATTTTGATGCTTTTTCTTTCTTTTCCTTGCCTAATTGATCTGGCTAGAACTTCCAGTACTCTGTTGAACAGAAGTGGCATAAGCAGGCATTCTTGTCTTATTGCTGCTCATCTTAAAGAAAAAGCTTTTGGTCTTTCACCATTGAGTATGCCATTAGCTGGGGCTTTTCATTTCTGTATAGCCTTTATTATCTTGAGGTAGTTTCCTTCTGTTCCTAGTTTGTTGAGTGTTTTTATCAGAAAATGGTGCTTAACTTTGTCAAATGCTTTGTCTACATTTGGTTTTTCCCCCTTCATTCGGTTTATGTGGTATATTAATTGATTTTCATATGCTAAACTTTCCTTGCATTCCAAGAGTAGACCCACTTAGTCATATTGTATTTTAATATGCTGTTGAATTCGGTTTGCTAGTATTTTGTTGAGGATTTTGCATTAATATTAATAAGGGATATTGGTATAGATTTCTTTTTTTGTGGTATCATTGTCTGATTCTTGTTTCAGGGTAATCTAGAGTGAGTGTGAAAGTGTTCCTTCCTCTTCAATATTTTGGGAAGAGTATGAAGAGGATTGGTGTTCATTCTTTAAATATTCACTATCGTTATATCTAATCTGTCTGGAATCTAGTGAGGTATGGACCTTTTCTAAATGGCTAGCTGAATGTTTCACTACCCTTAAGGTGTTTTTATTGTAGTAAAATACACATAACATAAAGTTTACTGTCTTAACCATTTTTTAAAAAAATATATTTTTTATTGATTTCAGAAAGGGAGAGCGAGAAACATCAATGATGAGAAAAAATCATTGATTGGCTGCCTCCTGCACACCCCACACTGGGGATAGAGCCAGCAACCCGGGCATGTGCCCTGACCAGGAGTCAAACCATGACCTCCTGGTTCATAGGTCGATACTCAACCACTGAGCCATGCTGGCCGGGCATCTTAAACATTTCGAACTGTACAGTTCAGTAGTGTTAATTTTGTGAACATTGTTGTGAAACAGATCTCCAGAACTTTCAACTTGCAAAACCAAAACTCTATATCCATTAAACAACAATTCCCCTTGTCTCTCTCCTCCTAGGCCCTGGTAATCACAATTCCACTTTGTGTTTCTATGAATTTGACCATTTTAGATAGCTTATATAAGTGGAATCATACAGCATTTACCTTTTTGTGACTGGCCTATTTCATTTGAACCCGTTTTTAACCCATCAATTTGAATTGTCTTCTTAGTAATTTCTATAGTTCCCATATATGCTTGGGTTCATTTCTAGGCTTGTTTCATTGATCTGTCTGCCTATTTCTATACATGTACACATTTGTTTTAATTACCATAGATTTTTGTTTTTGTTTTTGTTTTTTGTTCATCTTTACCTGAGGATATTTTTCATTGATGTTTTAGAGAGAGTGGAAGAGAGAGGGAAAGACAGAAACATCGATGTGAGAGAACCACATCCATTGGTTGCCTCCTGCACATGCCCCAACCAGGCCCTGGGCCGGCGAGGAGCTTGCAACCGTGGTACCTGCCCTTGACTGGAATCAAACCCGGGACCCTTTGGTCTGCAGGCCATCGCCCTATCCGCTGAGCCAAACCGGCTAGGGCACCGTAGCTTTTTATTGTCTAACTCTTCTCACAAGTTTATGCTTCCAAATAAACTCAGGAACCATTTTACTGAGTTTTCTACAAAAATCCTTTCGAGATGTTTTATTGTTATTACATTAAATATAAAGATCAATTCTGAGAGAATCGGCATCTGTACAATATTGACTCTTCCCATTTATATTTAATATGACTTCACCCTAGCATACAAGACCATGCAGAACAGAGTCCTACTCTTTTCTTCCCATGTTTAGCCACCCTCCAGCCAAACTCACTGTACTTCTGGTTCCTGAACATTCTTTGTGTTCTCTCTCTCTCTCTCTCCTCGCCTCCCCCTCCTTCTCTCTCTCCTCAAGCTGCCCCTCTTCTCCATCCCACTGTTTCAACTGTCTACAACCTATACATACTTTATGTTCCATCACAAATTGCCACTTCACCCATACTTCCTGAGTCCTCCATCCAGATGTGACTTCTTCTTCCTTTGAAACGCCATAGTACTTGGTTTGTCATTTTATTAAGGTGCTCACCCCAATTTGTTCTTTGTTGTTATTTGTATGCATCTCTTATTGGTCCGCAATCAGCAATTTTGCATTAGAACAACAGGTCTCAACAATTTTGGATTAGAACAGGTTGACGTTCAACTACTGCGGCCACGCATCAATCATTCCTTTTTATGGCTGAATAATATTCCACTTAGGATATATAAACCACATTTTACTTATCCATTCATCAGTTGATGGACATTTGGATTGTTTCCGTTTTTTGGCTATTGTGAACTATTCGTGTACATGTTTTTGTTTGAACACTTGTTTTCAATTCTCTTGAATATATTCGTAAGAGTGGAATTGCCAGGTCATATGGTAACACTATGTTTAACTTTTTAAATTAATGACTTCATCATTTTACATTCCATCAGCAGGGTATGTGTGTTCCAACTTTTATTATAAAAATAATGAGTGTGCATAGCTTAAAAAAACACTGCTACAAGGCCTCTGGCAAAATACAAGTCTTTTCGCCATACCTCTGTCCCATTCCCCAGAGGCAATTACTTTCAATTCCTTTAACTTTTTCCCTTGTTTTTAACCATATTTCTAAATAATATGCATATGCTCCAATTTCATTTGATCAATTCTAGGCATTACATTATGCTGACTTCAGTACTCTAATTATGTTTTCTTTCTTGAACAACTGTTTGGTTTCCCTGAAATTATCATTTGTCATATTTTTACTTGCTTAGTTTTCTGTGTGCTTCTCTCTATTTCACTACTTTTTCCCAAATGTTCCAAACACCGCTCTGATTCTTGATACTTTGTATTTGGCCTGTTTTTCCTGTTTTCTCTTTGGAAGTGCTTACGATCTTCTTTTTATTCCTGGTGTTCTGGAATTTAATGACAAACATCTGCTTTTTTTTTTTTTTTTTTTTTTTTCGTTTGTTCTGCTAGCCTTTTGGTGAGCTCTTTTAATCTGGAAACTCAGGCCCTTAGATCTAGAAAATTTTCCTGTAGAATTTCCTTTGATAATTTAAAGATATTTGTTACAGGACTTGTTGAATAATCTAAACCAGCTCCTTTAAAAATATCCAGCAAATGCTTCTAGATGTTTCTGTATTTTGTATTTCATTGTGTTTTTCCAATTATAAAGATAACTAGAGGCCCGAGGCATGAATTCATGCACCGGTGGGGTCCAGCCGCCTGCCCCTGATTGGGGGGCGGGGCAGGGGGCGACTGGGGGGCAGGGCCGGCCAGGGGGAGTTATTAGGGTCAAAGACCTTTGCAGGGTGTATACATGTTTGCTGTTGGCTTTCGGATGAGTTGAAGCTTCAAAGGCGCTTTAGTGTCAGAGACACTTACAGCTTCCATTTCTAAGCCTCTCCCTAGACAGGTAATGCAGTTTAGTTCCCCGCTGACAAGCCCTCTAAAGAGAGGCCGTGGAGTGATGTGGCTGCTCTCTTTGGTAGTAAGCAGTGGAGAGAGAATGCAGGAAGATGGTGGTTGTGCTGGGCACCTCTCCTGGACACCTGACTGACGGTCCAGACTGTGAGCA